CAAAGATAATACTTGAACATAATACAAGAGTTCACAATATGTCAATGATTGTTCATCTAGTTCAACAGCTAGTTTCTGTGGATGTTTCATTACTTGATATACAAACTCATGATGAATACAAGTGAGAGCAGATGAAAACGATATTTGTGTATTATTCATTGATTGCATTAGATATTGTTCATTGGATAATAATAATGATAGTTCATAGATAGGTTTGTTTGTTGTACAGTCGAAAGATGTGAATTGTTGATGCAACATTGTCTGTAATCTTTGTGAAATTATACAAATTGTTTCAACATTAAATAAATCAAGTGATGCATCGATGTTGCATGAGAATTCATTTCGATTCAGATCATGTTGAAAACTAAGAATAAAATCAAATTTACTCATGATTTCATCTTCACTAATCTTGATTGAATAAGGTAGTAAAGAAAGTCGACTATCACCTATCATTATTTCATTCTCATCATCTTTTGACATAGATGATGTAAATTCAAAAGATGTATCAAGAAATATAGGATTTGATATATTTGGATGTTGATTGAGAATACGTTGAAGTGGAAAATATGAATACTTAATACAATTTATCATGTTATCTCGAACGCGCTTAGTAAGATCATGAAATGATAAATGAGGATCTAGTTGACATCGCAAAGGTACAGCATTCACAAACATTCCAATGATAGAGTTAAGTTCATCTCTATATCGTCCGTGTGTATTTATTCCAGTACATAAATCGTTTTCTCCATTCGTTAATTTGAATAAAAAGACATAATAAGTAGCAAGTACAAGATGTTCAAGTGATATGTTATTTGATGATGCATGAACAAGAAAGTCATGTGACAGATCTTGACCAAAATCAAATGAAACAGATGTTCCACGACCGGTTCGATGTTCATTTGAGAGACGATATCGATCATATGGTAATGATAAAGGTTGATCAAGTTTACAATCATGAAGAGCATCAAGCCAAAACATACTTGCGCCAGTCATTGATATTTGTTGTTCAATAACAGCATCTATTATATAATCAAAGAAAATAATCCACTATAAAAGTAGAAGTAGTATTTATACTTACAATCGAGATAACGAAGATTAGTGTTGTCATCATATAGTAATTGACCTGTTGTATATGCTTGGTTAAGATCGTGATGAAACACGTTCATTGATGGAAAATCAAATAGAGCATGATGAAAGTTGAGAATAAGTAGATCTTTATGAGAAAGACGATGATTAAAAGAAATTTGTTTATAATAAATAATGTGACATCGAAAGACAAGACCTTGAGCGAGATCAAAAAGACAAGGATTACGTTTCTCGTCGTGTAAAATCTCATTTAATTGTTCATCTGTTTCATAAGTAGTTTCGATGATTGAAAATGCATTATTACTCTTATCTTCGTGAGTAATAACCCGTTGCATAAGTAGATTCTTTTCGATGTCAAAATAAAGTGATGTGTGAAGTGAGGGATGTTTGTTAACAGTGAGATCAAGAGCGTGACAAAGTCGTTTAACTGATAAAATATGCTCTGATTGAAGACGATAAACAAAAGGCATATTATAGATTGCTATTTGAGGTTTGTCTGGATCGAACCGAATTCGTTCATCAAGCCAAATACGAGCTTGTGCAAATGATGCTGGTGCTAGAATAATGTGAACTAAGTGAATTGAAATGTAAAAGTTAGACCGCCAAATAATGTTTGATAACAATATTCTGGTCATTTTTCATGTAATCGCTTCTCTAATTGACCAACAACAGTATTAAGAGTGTTGGCTCACTGTTTTGTGTTAGTAGTAATAAAAACTATTCTAATACCCAGAATGAAAATCCGAACATCGTATGACATCGGATCCTAGTTCAAAAATCGGAGAATTTTATTAGTCTTCATCGAGTCCGATAGAACGATGTTGATCTGTGACTTTTTTGCGCATTGATAGTACTATGTAATAGTTTTATGATAATGTTTATATAAAAAGATTCGATAATTTGACACTCTTATTAGACTGGCATTAACATAATGCAAGTACTGGCGGCTCTCTGAACAAAAAGCTGTTAGCGCAATCCCTAACGGGATTAAAAATGTGAAACACGATCTAACTGTGCTTCTATCTTCAAGAGGATAGTTCAATTGTATCATTATGAAGCGGCTTTTATCGTATCCTGTAGCATAAAGGTATAGAAATATCACAAAGAAACAATTTTCATATGTTGAAGTCATTTGATTATTATTCCAAGAGTTGATACAAAATTTAATAGAAAAATCGATTAATATAAAAAACTACTCACATATCTACCTTTCCTAAATAGTATGAGTTCAATAGTTTCATTTTATTCTCCAACGCAATGTTTATATCTATGACAGTTACAGTCTGTGATAAAGTCAACAGAACATCTGACATTCACGGTTCGTAATACTACGTTAATTACCTATATGAAGGCCTTGTTAGGGTCTGTAATGAATCACTAAACCCTAAACTAGAGATTAAGTTGATTCTTCTAGTCTAATTGTCTAAGGACATCTACCCGGATAGGAGAAGGTGTGGATTCGAGTCTCGCGAAGGTCATCTTTTCCCCAATTTTGTCTTTCTATTGTGTTCTTTCGCTGATGTCCCTTTTATGGCTCTGATATGGTCCTAACAGGCCTATGGTACCCTATTGGTTCTGTCTGTAACGAGGTCAAACGAACATACGTCGGTCACGTCTGTGACGGTCTATAATGCTATGTCGTTCGCCGCCTTTGATGTTCGATCGGTCACGTCTGTAATATTCGGTTGGTTACGTCTGTGATGTGCGGTCGGTTACGTCTGTGATTTTTTGTCTGTGATTTTTTGTCGATCACTTCTGTGGGGAGGGGGGGCGGGGGGAGTGGGTGCAAATTTTTATTCCTTAACACTTCAACACTCCTTTTAGTTCGTGTTTCATAAAAGTAAAATTGTTAACTAATACGAATTCATCTTGTAGGAATAAAACTATATTAGTATTTTCCTAGTACGAATACTTAGTTGACAGTCTTATTTAATACTATTGTTAGCTCTATATCAATCTTTCTTGTTCACTGAGTAGATCAAAGTTATTTCTCTAGCTCATTCAAATGCACTGAAAAATTTGATACATTTGTATATGATGATATAACATTTTTATATGTCTATTGATTTTGTCTTCTCTTTTTCTTTCTTTTATACTTCTTTTCATCAAATATATCCTTCAAGTCACCAGACAGTATTACAATATACTTGTAATACATATATATGGTTACGTGATGAAATCATTGTAGTTACTATATAAAAATTTACTTTGAAATCAGTTTAAGTGATTCTATTCTTTTGACATATATTACTAGATCACTAAAAGCTTTAGTTACTAGTCTGAAACTAAAATATCTGCAACTGTATTAGAGAATAATCTGAATAAAATATTTATATAAAATAAGGTGTATAACCAATAGGAATATGGATAATAAAAGCGTCAGCTATAATACGGAAATGTGGTATATTTATGGCATCACACAATAATTTGGTAGATATTTAAATAATTTGTAAGAGTTATATATTCACAATGTTTGACAATTTTTATAATCTATACACGTACGTCTAATCAATAAAAAAAAGAAAAATATCTTTATACTAGCTTTGTATATAATCTCGAAAGCAAACAGAAGCAAACAGAAATGTTTAATTGTAGAGAAATATCCGATGTAGGTGTTCTATGACTCCGAAAAGCTTCCTTCCTGTGATTCCAATCCAATCATATGAACTTTTATTTTTTCGCTTCGATTTCAGTTTCGACACCAAAAACTTCGATAACTTATTACTAATAACTAGTGATCTATTACATACTTAGTACTTAGTTTACGTGGAAGTCAAAGAGGACTAGTCTCGCCATTGACAAACTCTGTATTTTGCTGACTCTGCTCAACAGTCTGAGTAAACTAACTGTGATTTGTTTTTTGACATGAAATTTACGAGAGTATCTTATTTCTGAGAAAGTGCCAGTTTATAAATAAATCGGTTTCCGAAAGACTCTCCTATCACCGTTATTCTGTTTCTTAAGACGAAATATACAACTTTCGAGCAACGGTAAGTTTTATTTTTTGTTGATTAATAGAAAAATACATGACTATTCACATATTCAAAGCAAATCTTCGTCAAAGATCTTTACAATTCAACTTCCATTTCTTTCGCGAAAATTTTCTTCATAAGTCCGAATACAACTCCTTTTCAACGTCTTCAGCAATCTCTCCTTAAAAGTTACAAAACAAGAGCACCTGAAAAGACAACTTGAGTCATTGACAATCACAACTCATTTGAATCCCTATTTTCTCATTATTTATTCCGTTAGGATTTATTTAAAAACTATAAATACTATATCTGTACATTGAAATGCTCTTTAATGCCTATTTCTTATTATGGGTTTAACTGACTACTACTTTTATAAAACAAAAGAATAAGCTGCATACAATCATACCTTCATTCACAATATTCTCCAGTCGATGAAACAGGACTGATTCCATTTCTTCAGCTTCATCAGGAAGAATAAGACACACTTTGTTAATCGATGAACTCACATTCATCACAGGAGTATTACTTGATTGTGTTTGAAACAATTGCTCAAACATATATTCAAATCTTTGAGCTATTTTGGAAATAGTTGATTTTTCAAACAAATCATGTGAACAAATAAATTGACATGATAATCCCTCATTATCTGACAACGGATTGTATAGAAATGTTAATGAGAAGTCAAATTTAGACACTTCAGCTGATTGTTCTATATGTACTTGTTCTAAATTTGTACCATTCAAACATAAATGTCCCACATCTTTAGACAAACTAATAAAATCAAAAATTGTCTCAAGAAATGATACATTCGATTGATTTAATCGATTATCACCAAGAATATGTTGAAGTGGATAATGAGAATGTTCAAGAATTGATAAACATTTTTCTCGTACATATTTGACTACTTCATCAAATGACCAATATGGATCAAGTTCAACACGATATGGTAATGTTGAAACAAACATTCCTATCATATTCCCTAATTCACTTCGATATCGATTAGCATTGATAGAAGAAATACATAGATCAGTCTCACCATGAGTTAATTTAAATAGAAAGACATAAAATATGGATAACCCAAGTTGAAAAAGTGTGAGATGATGTGATGATGCATAATTTAGAAATGATGTGCACAATTCATTGTCAAAATTGATCTCAGCTATGGATGCTAAACCTGATCGTTGTTGATTAGTTGATGAACGTTGTCGATCAACTGGTAATGGCAATGAACATTCACTATTGTATCTTTCAAGTTGAGAATGCCAGAATTCACGAGATAATGACATATCCATAATATGTTCATAAACAGAATAATCTATATAATTCAATGTATTTTCGTTCACAGGTAAAGAGTCATCAGATTGATAAGCAAGAGCAAGATCACGAATGAAGATTGATGTTGATGCTCCATCAAACATTGCATGATGAATACTAATTAATATGTTATCATTTTCAGTCAATAGATCATCATTGTCATATGAAACACTATCTTGATATTGATGATAATGACGAAAAATATGACAACGAATGACACGTCCTTTTGATAAGTCAAATAAATTAGATTGATTTAATATTTCTGGGATCATTTCAGTCATATGACGACTATCATCATTATGAAGATTAACGATTGTCAATCCGTATGATTTCATATGATCATCATGAATGATATTTGCATCTAGACAATATTGTAAGATACGACCATTTGTATCAAGATAAAGTGCTGTTCGAAGAATATTATGTTTTGTAATAATACTTTGAAATGCATGATGTAATCGAGTAATTGATATCTGATCATTCATAGATGATATTCGATAAAGTAATGGAATAGTATACATATTATTCATCGTTGTTTTGTTGGATGAAAAACGAATTTGTTCATCTAGATAGATTCTTTCTTGTGCAAATGATGCTCTAGCTAGAACAACATGTAGTGAAGACCAAGTAGAGTTATCCAAAGTGTGAATGATGTTGACAGATTGTTGAATGAGTTGAGCATGATGAATAATTGTTGGATGTTGAAATAGATTAGAAATGGAAAGAGCATTTGTTTCTAAATGAAATTCGATCTTGTATCGATGAAACAGTTGCATGATAAGTAATGAATGACCACCGATAGTAAAGATATTTGTATCAGTTGAGATTTGATTTAGGTTGAATATGTCACACCAAATATGATGAATGCTAACTTCAATATCATTTGTTGGTAGTAATAGTTCTATACTGTTTGTGAGATTTATTGATGAGAAGTGAGGTGGCGGAAGAAGTTTTCGATCTATTTTTCCATTTGGATTCAGTGGTAATTTATCAAGTATAATAAATATTGATGGTATCATGTGTGGTGGAAGATGAGATTGACAATGTTCACGTAGTTCTGCTTCATTCATATCAGGACTTTGAACATATGCGACTAAGTAATCGTCATTCCATTTCATGACAACACAAGCAGAGATAGATGTAATGTCAAGCAGACATCGTTCGATTTCACCAAGTTCGATTCGTTGTCCATGTAGTTTGATTTGATGATCTCTTCTTCCTTGATAATGCAGGAGACCATTGTTATCCATTCGGACAAGATCACCTGTTCGATAAAAGAGTTGACCATCTATTTCAATAAGAGCTTTTGCTGTCAAATCATCACGTCGAAGATACCCAGCAAATACACCCACTCCACCTACAAATAGTTCACCTTCTTGACTGACAAAAGATGATTGTAAATATTCATTCATGATCATACATCGGTAATTAGAAAGTGGTCTACCAATTGATATACTTTGCCTATTAACCATGAGATTTACTCTATGAACGGTACAAACTATAGTTGTTTCAGCTGGACCGTAAAGGTTCCACAGCTTGCAGTAACTCGCGACTGAACTAAAAACTAAGTTTGCTAGATTGTCAGACCACATTTCACCTAAAAAATGATAGAAAAGTGGGATGTGAGAAAAACATTCAACAGAAAGATTACATACCACCAGTGCAAACGCATCGTAGACTCATTAGAGTTGAGATATCATTAGACCGTTGCAGAAAACTTAATAAAAGTTGAAGAACAGTTGGTACAGCGGTAATGCACGTAACATTCTTCTTTCTGATGACATCAGCAAGATACTTTGAATCAATTATTCCTCCTGGATGCAACATAGCTAATGTAGCTCCAGTTGTTAATGTACCAAGTACTTCCTGCACATGAACATCAAACGAACAACGAGCTATTTGTATAATTGTATCTTTCTCCTTCAATACACCACCACATACTAATGAATACATATACTCACTAAAATTTCTATGTCGCACTCGAATCTAAACGAAGGCGAACTATTCTCACTTCATCAAAAAAAATATCATTTTAGACTAACCGCTTTTGGTGTTCCTGTTGAACCACTTGTGAAGATGATGTAAGCCATACTGTTCGATGCCACTATAATATTTGATAGTCGGTCAGTACTAACTGTATCATACATATGTTCGTCAAATAAAATTGAATCATTGTTAGATAATACACTATCATGGCTGAATTTGGTCTTAGTTAAATGATGAACAAGAATAAGACGACTTTGTGTTTGTTGTGTAAGTGCATACAAACGATGTTGCGGATCTCGAGGTGATAATGGACAATAAACACCACCAGCCATTTCAATTGACATAATACCAATTACCTAATAAAAACCAACCCCAATCTCTTATCAATAGTTACTTCATCGAATCAACTTACCATCGACAAACTTCGCTCAACACATTGACATACGACCTCACCTGGAAGCACATGATATTCATTAAGAAGAGTTAAAGATAAAACTTGAACATAATGTAATAGTTCACAATATGCCAATGATTGTTCATCTAGTTCAACAGCTAGTTTCTGTGGATGTTTCATTACTTGATATACAAACTCATGATGAATACAAGTGAGAGCAGATGAAAACGATATTTGTGTATTGTTCAATGATTGCATTAGATATTGTTCATTTGATAATATCAGTGATATTTCATAGATAGGTTTGTTTATTTGACTGTCGATAATAGATGCAGATAATTGATTTAAGATGAAATGAAATCGTTGTGCAATCTTCTCCACTGTCTCTCTGTTGAACAAATCAAGTGATGCATTGACTGTGCATGATAGTTGATTCATGTTCGTATCATGATGAAATGAAAGAGAGAAGTCGCATACACTTAATATCTCATCTTCATTAATGTTAAATGAGAAAGATCCTGAAACAAGTTGAGAATCGCCAACCATAGTTGCGTTGCTGCTCGTGTATGATATGAATTCCAGAGATGTATCCAAAAATGTATGTTTTGAAATATGTGGATGTTGATCGAGAATACGTTGAAGTGGAAAATATGAATATTTCATACTCTTTGTTGTTATCTCTCGAACATATTTAAGTACTTGATGAAAATACCAATGAGAATCTAACTGACATCGTAACGGAATGGCACTCTCAAACAGCCCAATGATTGATTTGAATTCATCTCTATATCGATTATTGATGTTCATAGCCAGACATAGATCTGTTTGTCCATTAGTTAGTTTAAATAGAAAGATGAAGTAAACAGCAAATGTGAGATGTTCAAGTGATATGTTGTTTGATGATGCATAAATAAGGAAGTCATGTGACAGATCTTGACCAAAATCAAAAGAAATAGATGTTCCACGACCAGTTCGATGTTCATTTCCAAGACGATATCGATCATATGGTAATGATAATGATTGATCAAGATGACAATCATAAAGTGTATTAAGCCAGAACATACTTGCACCAGTCATTGACATTTGTTGTTCAATAACAGCATCTATATAATTAAAGAAAAGAATGAGTTATAGAAGAGAAAAATAGAAGTAGTATTTATATTTACAATCGAGATAACGTAGATTAGTGCTGTCATCATATAGTAATTGACCAGTTGTATATGCTTGACTGAGATCATGAAGAAAGATATTCATCGATGGAAAATCAAATAAAGCATAATGAAAGTTAAAGATAAGTAGATCTTTGTGAGACAGAAGATGATTTGCAGAGATTTGTTTGTAGTAAACAAGATGACATCGAAAGACAAGACCTTGAGCAACATCAAAAAGTTGAAGATTATATTTTTCTTCATGTAGAATATGATTCAGTTGTTCATCTGTTTCATAAGTGCTTTCAATAAATGTGAATAATGTATTATTATGCTGGCTGAAGTCGATGATTTGTTGCATGAGTCGATTGTTGTGTGTATGGTATATGAGTGATGTTCGAAGGGTTTGATGTTTTGTGACGATTAGTTGAAGAGCATGACAAAGATGTTGTACTAATAAAGTATGATGTGAGTAGAGAGAATAAACAAAAGGCATGTTGTAGATTGGTACTTGTGACATATGATTAGTGAAATGAATAGATTCATTATGCAATAGACAAATTTGTGCAAATGATGCTGGTGCTATATGAAAGAGAAAACAATTAAATAGGATTAATGATATTGCTTGTGGAGGGTTAAACAAAAGTGTCATTGGTGACATAAATGCTTAGTTTAAGCGGAAAATAGCGCTTGAGACAAAAATGCTAGTTTTCAAGGTGAAAACGACACAAAATGTAGGACATTTCACACCATTTCATAGTCATGTTCAGGAAACACATCTGGAATAATGGATTCACGTTGATATATATCAGAAAAACATTCAGAATGCGTGTGAGTATGTTTATGAATAAGGAATCCACGTTCACAACCATTCATAGTCACACACCCACTCTACAAGTGAGAGCCGGTTCTCCGATCATCTGAACGATACAGGAATATAGCTGCAGTGATATTTCTGTATAATGTATTGACTGTCAATATAAATGTTCATGAAGCAAAACTTCATCTAGATAAACATACCTTCGTTTATAATATGTGATTGTCGACAAAACATAGTTTCGTTCATTTCTTGAGTTTGTTCTGGTAGAAAAGGACCAAATTGTGATATAGGGGTAAAACATGTATCAATCTGGTTCATATTTTCATTCAATGAAAATAGTTGTTGAAAACAATATTCTAGTCTTTGACCTATATTTTTAACTGTAATCTCGTCAAACAGATCATGTGAACAAGTTAAACGAAATGATAATCTGTTATTTTCTAATATTGGGTTATAGACAAACATTAACATAAAATCAAACTTAGCCACTTCGAACGGTTGTTCGAGTGACACTTGCTTGAGATTTGTTCCACCCAAAGATAATTCATCGCTGTGTGACGATATTGTTATAAAGTCATACATTGTTTCGAGAAATGAAATATTTGATTGATTAATATGTAAATTAGCAAGAATATGCTGAAGTGGATAATGTGAATGTTCAAGAATTGATAAACATTTTTCTTGCACATATTTAACAAGATCATCAAATGACCAATGAGGATCCACTTGAATACGATATGGCAATGTTGAAACAAACATTCCCATTATATTCTGCAGTTCAGTTCTGTATCGATTAGCATTAAGACAAGAAATACATAAATCATTTTCGCTATGCGTTAACTTGAAAAGAAAAGTATATAATATAGCTAGTCCCAACTGGAATGGTGTCACATGATGTATAGAAGCATAATCAAGAAATGATTGTGCAATCTCGTTGTCAAAAGAGATTTGAGTGACAGAAGCAAAACTCGATCGATGATCATTAGACAAACGATGTCGATCAACTGGTAATGATAATTGAGATTCTAGATTGTATTCTTCTAATTGTAAATACCAGTATTCAAGAGATGTTGTCATATCAATTAGATGTTCATGTATACTATAATCAATATATTGCAATGATTCATTATCATCTTCTTCTGATATTGCATTAGTATTATAAGCTAAACATAGATCATTGAAAAAGATTGAACGACTTGCTCGATCAAATGCTGCATGATGAAAAGCAATGAGGAGAACATCAGAATTCATTATGAACTCTTTGCTATTATTGTCATTTTCGTTTAATGATATTTGATGTTTTAGAATTTCAGCATGAAAAACATGACCAGTTGATAAATCGAAGAGTGTAGGATTAATAGTTGTTTGATAAATAATGTCTCGAAGTTCGTTATCATTTTGAAAGGTTTGATTCATAGTTATTGTGAATGTTTTATGTATGTCTGCAATGCATTGTTTCAAAATACTATCATTATTGTCGAATATAAGAGATGTCCGTAATATTTTATGTTTATTCAAAACGAATCGAAATGCTTGTAATAAACGATTTGATGATAATGATCCTTGAACAACTTGTAAAGTTGACAGTTCATTATAGATAGCAATATCACTTGAAAAACGAACTTGTTCATCAAGAAATATACGTTCTTGAGCAAAAGAAGCAACACCTGTCAATTAAATGAAAGAAATTATTTTAATAATTTCCTCCTAAACACTTTTACCATTATTTATGTGTAATGTGTACCATTTTGTTGTCTCGATATTATTCATTATAACTGTTTGAAGTAATTGTGAATGTTGAGATATAGTTGGTTGTTGAAGAAATGGAGCAATGGAAAGTGTATGAGCATCAAAGCTAAATACTGATTGATAATGATGATAAAGTTCAATAAATAACAATGAATGACCACCAACACTGAAAAAGCTGGTAGTTGTAGAAATGTGATTTTCATTAAAATGAAGAACTTGACACCAAATAGTGTGTATACGTTCTTCGAACTCATTAAGAGGAGTATCAGACTTATCGGACGATAACAAAGTGGCTGAAGAAAAGTCGGGTGAAGGAAGCTGTTTTCGGTCTACTTTTCCATTTTGATTCAACGGTAATTTATCAAGTATAATAAATATTGATGGTATCATATGTGGTGGAAGATGAGATTGACAATCTTCACGCAATTCCTCTTCATTAGTGTCAGAACTTTGAACATAAGCAACTAGATGATCCTCATTATGTTTCATGACAACGCAAGCAGAGATGGATGTGATGTTAAGTAAACATCGTTCGATTTCACCAAGTTCAATTCGTTGTCCATGAAGTTTAATTTGATGATCTTTTCTTCCTCGAAAATGAAGAAGGCCATTGTTATCCATTGTAACAAGATCACCTGTTCGATAGAATAATTCGCCATCGACTTCAATGAGTGCTTTGGCAGTTAAATCATCACGTCCAAGATATCCAGCAAAGACACCAACACCTCCTATAAACAATTCACCATCTTGGTTGGTGATTGATTGTTGTGAGTATTCATTTATAACTATACATTGGTAATTAGAAAGTGGT